TGAAAAAAAAAAAATAACATTTGCATGTAGATAGATGGACGGACAGTCAAGACGATGTAGATGTATATGACTAGTGAAATTAGTGCTCACTTATACATGGGAGCCTCCACCTTTCTAAACCCAATTTAAACGCTCTGCAAACATACTGCACTTGAATGTAATTCAGAGATATATCTATGCTTCATCCTCTTGCATCAAACATTTTGTGAACAATTCTATTTCTTCTAGCAACTCTTTCTTCCATAGAGGACGCTCGGGACACGAGCAAGACGACACAAGGCTGACAAGGCAGGCACGGGCTTTCCCCACATGATTGAGGCTAACAGCTACATCCTCTGCGTGATCCTCCATGCAGCTATTTTCAATATCATCAGCATATACGAGTGTCCTGCAAGCCTAGAACCTCATAGAACGTCGGATTAAAATCACAATCGATATTAAAAATAAAAAAACTGCTTTAGTTGTTCTTTATCCAATTTTAGAATTCTATTTAGAGGTAAATTGATAGACAGAAGTTCAGTGTCTCAATTTGTTGTTCTTCTTTTTGTCTGCCCAACGGTTGCAACAGTTACTAGTCATTGAGAAAATAATACAAAGAAAATTAAGCATCATGTGATCATTAGAGAACAACTTTTCACCTGGATTGTTCGACTTAGGTTAGCAACATGTGCAGAGTTGAGATAGCCCAAATGCAGGAGCTCCCTAAACAAAACCACCAACTCAGCATTCATATTGCTGGGGCATATGTTCTGAATAATACACCCAATAGAAGGTTCATCAAATACTTTAGTCATCCAAGAAGGTACTTGTGACAGTTTTAACAAAGCGGCTGCAGCAATAGCAGCTGGCTTGTTACGAGTCAATAAAGACTTTGAAGTCAGGCTTGAGGCACACAAAGAAAACACCAGCTCCTCCACTATCAATCTGCACCACCCTGCAGATTTCCCGATTTTTGGCAGTTTCCATGACATGAGAGTCGACAAACAGTAGGAACAGTTGAGTGCGACCCTCATGTCACCAAAAAATATAAGGCCCTCTAGTATGGCTGAGACTGACTGCAAGTAGGCTTGTGTCACATTCAACTGGACTAACTTGTTTTCCGTATATTCTGCTAGTGAGGCAAATAGTTCCACGAGGCAGAATGAAGCAGTTAATTTGATAGGCGCAGATCCAAAATGCATCAACTTGCACAAGTCACGGCATTGAATGTTGAGATAGGATGATGATGGCCTCTGCATTATCTCACAACCCTCACTAAGCCAGATTCGGAAATCAGTGATACCGGGCAGAACAGCTCGTATGCTGAAAACCAATGAAATTAGTTCAGCCAAGAATCAGAAAGAGTAAGATTGTATTTTTTTTCTGTATAAGTAAAGACGAAATATAGTTATGGTTACCTTCTTATGGAAAAAAAGAGCAGTGAAAGCAAAAAGATGAGGACTTCCCCAGTTCGAGTTCCCTCATCATGGTCGACCAAAGCATGTCCCTTGGAACATGCTTCAGAGACTGTACTATTAATTATTGAAGCCAAAGGGGCGTTCAATAATATGGTTTTTGAAGCTTCAGTTAGTACGTTCCTCGTCGAGTGGTGCAAAACAAAAGAAAGAATGGCGAGTATTATGAGAACTTCATCCGTCCATCCATCTGAAGCAACAGTGGTGCTTAAGTAGTCCACCAACTGCAAGACAGATAACATGTGACCATGTTAACTTCTGGAAAAGTACCTTGTAAAGACTAAAATATACTGTAATGTTTTCAATACCTTCACAGTAATTCCCACCCAAGCTTCATGAGAAGTCATTGATTCAGGCTGCACCGATCTTAGAAGACTAAAAATAAACTGACAAGTTGCTATGAATAATTCTGGAAAGGACTGGCTTGAATGATTATAAATGTTTTGCAGCACCAAATCTATTCCATTTATGCAGAATCTGTCGGAAGCAACTGGAGCAATTTCAATTATTTTGGTGCAAACACTTAGCACTGAAATGATGTCATAGTCGTCGCTGTTATTTTCGACAAGATCTCCCAATAGGCACACGAAAATCATTGCTCCAAAGTTGTTTCCCGAAGTTATTAACTCAGCCAACAGATTCAGATCAACTTTTAGTTGGCTATTGCTATTAATAACTACAGTATCACCAATTGAGCTGTTGCATCGGCAGAACTTCAGTATCTGAGTAGATAAAGACTTACAGAGTTTCTCTTGTTGGAACAACCACGTTAATGATGTCATATGTATCTTTGTTGAAAGAGAATCCCAATTTTTTTCAGCAAGTAACTGAAAGAGAATTTTTTCAGCTTCTAAGCTATATGGTATTTGGTAGCTCATCTTGGCAAATCCACGGTACAACCCATAAAGGTTTACTACTACCTCTATGGTCACTGAGGCTGAGGCTCCACACGGGAAATTGCTGCTGTTGAGTAAAATAAATTGTTCCAAGGAAGATAGTACCACCTTCTCATCAGCAATCCTAATAAATAAATAAAAAGATCTATTTAGTGACAACTGCAGCAGGGGTGGGGAGGTAGAATGCGAACATGGGAGTCTGTGTTACCTGTCATTATACAACGAGCTGACATATAATACTAGAAGAACTGCATTTTGACAACAGAACAACTCAAGATTGCGACAACTCTTCTGACCAAGGAGGAAAAGCAAATCTGTAGGGTCAGATGGCAAATGGTGAGCAGCATCCATAATTGGTTGCCCAGAATCACCCCCCAGAAGAATACCCACAATTGAACTGAAGTTTAGATAAACCCTCCACTTCATCTTTTCCGTGGGAAACAAACCCAAGCACCCAAAGAGTATACTAAACCATGACGACGACGCCAAGTGCTCTGCAAGATCCTTGGCATCATCATTGGAATTAAGTAAGATTGACTGGATCGTTTCAATCACCCCCATGGCAATAACATCTTCTTCCATATCATTGATCACTGTCATGAACCAAGGTGAAATTTTCATTTTCAATATGTCAGTAACCAAAAAATGGAGTCCAGCATTTGAAGGTCCAGGAAAATTATCTTCCTGATCATATGCATATGCTTCCTTCAGTAAGTAAAGAGAGTGCAGAATTTGATCCGTGGTGATAAGATCATTGTTTATAAAAGTTGAGACCACAGTTCTTGCACAAGCTTTAATGGATTCTACAAAGTTTGAATTTCCCCGAGATGATGTACACTTCATAATCGCAACAAGTATCGAGCATGACAACGTGAATGTCTCTGGAAGCATGCCAATCTCCCCATTTTGGTGTTTCTTAAACATTCCAGCTAATATACTACTAATTTCTCCACCAGTACAGGTGGATACTATTCCAGGAGTGTTTAATACACAGTTTAAAATGAGCTTCAGAAGCTGATGTTGCACAGGTTGAAAAGGGATTTCAGCCACATATCGCAGAATTGGAACTAATGTCGAGAATCCAATCGCAAGTCTTCGTCTGAAAGATTGCTCCACATTTGATAGAACATCAAGAACCTTAATTGAAGAGTTGACAATTGCTTCTTTGCTTCCTAAACAGCAGTCAAAATCAGAAACAGTGAGAAGAATGGTCGGCATGCAGCAAAAGAGTTGGATAACAAAATCAATTTAGATGCAATCATCTTTTTCCATAAAAGTGAAACTAAGGCAAAATTTACTAACATAACGGCTTTTGGTGCATAAGTTATATACAAATGTGTGATAGATAATAAAACAAAACTCAATTACGAGTGGGCAATATAAAGATATATCATATATCCAGCCGGAAGTATAGATTAAATAGAACAATTGGACATCAGCAGCAAGTTTTCCTGATAACTAAACCACAACATAACTTTGTTGAGTATCACGTGAAGTATGTTCTTCTTACCTGATAATCTCAGTATTTCAAATATGTAATCTGCTATATTCTCGTCGATGAATACTTCGCATTCTTTCTCTGAGACATCCTCTGATGATAGGTACCGAAATATTAAATCCAACGTAGCAATTTGAACTTGGGTATCTGAAGAAAGCAATGGGCCTTTAACTGCCTCAGCAAACAAGACCTCCAGGGGTGGCTCGTCGATCATACGTTCTGTTATTTGCATGAAATTATCACCTTCACCGGAATCCATGTACCCTACATAATTTGAGCATCCCCTCTGAAGGAATCCCCTTTGAACCAACACCATCAACAGTGCTGCAGGGTAGTAAAAAGCAATTATGACAAACCATCAACAGTGCTGCAGGGTAGTAAAAAGCAATTATGACAAACAATATAACATACAGCATTTAGCATTTGCAAAGCCCTATCAGCCATCATGCACATTGGTGTCAGCATAAACATCTCCAATCAATCACGAGTAGAGAACAATAACGTATGTAAATTATCGTGTACTGTGAAGTGACGTATAGCAGATTTCAAGATCGTTCACCATTTATACTGTCATTTTGCATGCTATATGACAAAAATCAAAGGTTACTGGTCAGGAACAAGCTATTCAGTTGCAAGCTTATGCATGAAAATGAAATCAACCGAAACAGTTTTCATAAATTTTCATAGGATTACAAGTTATCCACTGGACTATCATAGACATTTACTATAACATTAAAAAGGATAATCTGGAACACTGCATTACTATGTTACAGATTGACAGCAAGGCAAGAAAACAACCTAAACAGTTTAGCCGTACATCATCACTTTGACTTTTCATGAGGATGTCAAGCGAGATATGCAAAAGCTTGGGGCAGTAGTTATGCAAAACGTCGGAGCCACTATCATCCATATATGTGTAGTGAAGGAGGGATGTTCTATACAAGACAAACATAATCTCCCCTTGGATTTCATCACTGCAAACGAGGAAAACAAGTAAATTATGATTAGGTTTGTGCAAAGTATGTGGAATAACATGATTGAGTATTAATTCAACTCACTTCGACAATTGAAGACCAGTGACAAGGTTGAATATCAGGGCATCTTTGTTTTTAATGCAATCATACAAGTGAAAATCCTGATTATCCAAGAGTACACCGAAGCAGTGAAGCTGCATAAAGCCATAAAATAAGTACACGAAGGGTCAGAATGTGGAGACGGAATAAGTTCATTTCGATGCCTGACAATGATAGCTAGTGGTTATTTGAATTGATTACTAGTGCCCACAAATACTCTTCTAGCAACTTTGGATGACTATTTGCTAAAAGTGAAGATTGAACATGAAGTAGCTGTTACTAAAAATCCGGAATGAGCCTTTGCAGGCATCACACCACCAGCCCATGCATGAGAAACTTCAACTCCTTTGAGTTGATAATATTCTAACATAATCATGAACACCTGTAATGATTGCACTGTAATTTTCCCTCTCCAAAGAAGCATGACCGCAAGTAGTGGTCGTAATACAACTTTTTTACTTAAATGCCACATAATTCAAAATCAAAATTATTAGACACAGAGGTGAATGGTTAATGACTGAACTTCTGGAAATAGTATCACCAGGATAAGGATTTATAAAGGCGGCGGCTCCATTATTATGACAGGGGTATGTGATTATTATGCTTAGAGCTTTCACAGTTGCTTTCCCGATCAGTTAGAAATACAAAACACAAGGGTTTGCTTTCCGAATAAATTCGAAACAGAAAACACCAAAGGCATGTAACCAACCAAGGACCAAAAATTGAAGTGCATAAAGTACAAGTTTCGGAGCCTTCTCCACGATGATTGTCAACCAACAAAGGATCCAACTACAGACCACATCAACCATTAATTGCACTATATAAGACCTCAATTTATAGATTACTTACGAGTGTATATCAGTAAGTGCGAAAAAACTACAAACTGCACCATGGTGAACCTCGAACATATGCAGCTACCATGGAGAACAATGCCCGAAACTCATCGATTTAACGGAAAGTTAACAGTGGGTCAGCAAATACCATGTATAACTGGCGATGGCTCCAAGCCAACGAGCCTCCAGAAAGCCAATCAGAAACCCTGGCCACAAACTCCTTACGCACATCCTGACAATCGGATTCAGAATCACACAACGTTTGAATCAAATCGATTGTCTGTTTTGCAAGGGGCTCGTCGTCAAAGCTGGATAGTACACCAACAAGGGGGGAAATGAGGAAATGCGAGTGGTAGGTGAGAAGAGACTGAAGGAATTGGGGCTGGGAGATGGCTTGAGAGAGCTGGGAAAGGGCGTAGGACACGTGGACGGTGGGCGACCTTGGGTTAGTCAATAGATTGGAGAGACAGAGGAGGCAGATCGAGCCGCCCTCTGCGGTTGGGAGGACGACGGAGGAGCGGTGGCCTTGAGCGCAGGTTTCCGGCGAGGAGTGCATCATATTTTGAAGAATTTCAAATGCGAGGCAAGCAGATTTTGAGGCGCGGGAACGTGATTTATAAAGTAACTCTATTAAAATAGAGGAAATAATTATTTTCACCCGACATAATAAATTAACACACCGCTAATCAAAAAGTTAACTTTTTTACCTCATAAAATGAGAAAACAATTATACGCTAATATGTACGACAGACAAACAAAGATAATTGATAAAATGCGAAACAACTATGCGACATACAGACGAAGATAATTGAAAAATTGCGAAACAGTTCTGCGATCAACTATGCGACAAACATATGAACGATAAAGTGCATAACAATTATGGGACAAACTATGCGACACAACGAAGATAATGATAAAATGTGAAACATTTATGCGATATACTATGCAATAGACAGACGAACATAATTGAAAAGGTGTGAAATTATTATTGATAAACTATGCGACATGCAGACTGAAGATAATTGATAAAGTGTAAAATAGTTATGCGATAAGTTGTACAACAAACAAGCGAACATAATTTATAAAGTGTCAGACAATAGTGCGATAAATTATTCGATGGACAAACGAAGATAATTGATGCGAAAAGCTATGCGACAAACAGACGAAGATGATTGATAAAGTGCGAAAACTATGCGAAAAGCTAAGTGACAGAGATGCGAGGATTGATAAAATGCAAAATATTTATGCGAAACGATATGCGAACGAAAGGCAAAGATAATTGAAAAAGTGTGAAATAATTATGCGATAAATTATGCGACAATCATACGAAATAATTGATGCAAGAAGCTATGAGACAGACAGACGAAGACAATTAATAAAGTGCGAAATAATTATGCGACAAACATAATTGATTAAGTGCAAAAAATTATGTGATTAGAAATTCGACCGATAGCTGAAGATAATCGATAAAGTGTGAAATATTTGTGCGATTGTAAGTATTTGTGAAGTTTAACATTAAAGCTATGTTTGGTAAAAATAACTGATAAGCTAGCTTTTAGCTTATCAGCAATTTTTTAGCTTATAGCTTATAGCTTATGACTTATTATTGAAAGATAGCTTATATGATAAAAGTGTTTGGTAAAATTAGTTGATAAGCTAGTTGGAATAAAAAATTCAACTAGTTTATTTGAAAATCTACCTCAAGAAGCTTATCGAATAAGCTCGAGCTTTTTTAAAACGTTCGTCCTCCTAAACAAGGCTTATTTGAATACAAAGAGCTTATAAGCTAACCAAATAAGCTATAAGCTACCTTATTTGTCTACCAAACATATCATAAATCGAAACTCCAAACTAAAGCGTGAAACATACATAGTATATTGGAACCATTGAAAGTTAAATTAATCCCTTGATTTTATTTGGTTCAATTTTTTTATCAATCTATTTTGTTTAAAGAATCGAGAAGAAATCTATAAGATATCTTACCATATGAAGTAGTCGCACATGAAAAGAAAGAAGGATTATACTTACCATGCAAAAAAGTCACAAGGCGTGTGGCATAATTACCATTTGGAGTAGCAGAGAGATGTGTGAATACCATACCATGCAGAATTAACTTGCAAAATGGATAAGCGGCCACTGCGCAAGAATGTGGACACAACTAATTTTGGAAGAAATAAGACAAGGTGAACTTACCATAGTTATGAAAGAGATAAGCAGCTCCTTTGACCGCGCGTCGCAACGCGGCAAAATTAAAATTTATATTTTCCTCGACTAACCTCTACTAACTAGTAGTAGTGGCGAGTAAGGGTCGATCCCACAGGGAGTGTGAATCAAATTGTGAATTTTTTTATATTAATTGAGTTTATAAAAGCGGTAAATGGGAGGATTGGGTTTTGATAATTAAACTAACTAAAAATCCTAAAACTATAAAGAAAGAAAATAAAAATAAATATAAAATAAATAAGAGAAATTTCTAGTTCACGGTTCCGTCTAC